CTTCAAGGGAAGTTATGTCAATTTGTTTCAGAGGTGCATTTGAATTGTGTTACATTAAACAGATATTTGTAATATTTTTGGACAACCCATATCCATGAATGACAGAGTAAGTATTAGAAATACCGCTCTGTACAAAGCAATACAGTATAACATTAAAGTACAGTTTCCAAAATGATCATAGATGTAAAACAAAACCTCGATGTAAGAGGGCTGTTGTATCATTAGAGCATTACTCACAGCTAGGTCTATCTAATTTGAGTGGAAATGAATTTGAAGGCGCTCGTGTTTGCTCTTAACATGCATGTAGACAGCAAACAAGCCACTGCTCACCATCACAGACACGTTTGACTGACCGACAAATGAGTGGAAAATAGACAGTAAAGAATTAAAGCGACTTTTAATTCAGAAAAAAAAGTGACAGTTGTGATGTGAACAAAACAGATTAGTTGATTAAACCCTGATGGGAAAAGGAGGATAATTCAAAAACCTAATAATCACAACAACATTTGATCAGGGATGGTCTGGACAATCACAATCTGCTTCAACTCCATCTTTCTAATTCACTCCGTCACACTCCTAAACTGGAGCCAAGCTGGATTTTCTAAAATGTTCAGTGAGAAATAAATTCTTCTAAAAGGCTCCCAAAAGGGCACTGCACAACAGTCATATTTTCTGCAGAGCAGGCATTGCCCCAAATTCACTCTGACAGATCAATGATGAGCAAAAAGAAAATTTAAAAGTTAAACTGAATAAAAGCCAGCCTATAGTATTGGCTTTCCTGCCAAGGAAAAATGACTTTGCATATAGACAACAGGCTAACACGTGTGTTTTCTGTGATACACGTGTCGTTATGCAACAAGTCAACCCAGGAACAAAAGTAATTTGAACCCAGGGATAAAATGTAAACAGTTAAGCAGCTTCAACAGTCACTGAAACCAGCGTCCCCTGATTGACACCCGAACTCTAGTCCTCGTACTCAGTGTACTTTTTGGCTGATCCGTGCACCTTGCTGGCGGGGTATTTCAGTCGGTTCAGGGCCATTTTACGAAGCACGGCTTGGGGGAGGTCAACGCGACACTTCTCGGCGAGCTCCACCAGGTAGATCATCACGTCGCTCAGCTCCTGTGCCAGCTGTTCCCGTTCCGTCTCGGTCCAGTCCGGCAGGCCCTCGGCCACCTCCCCGCGCCACTGGAAGAGCTCCGACACCTCGCCCACCTCGCCGACCATGGCCAGGAGCAGGTTGCGGGGCTGGTGGAACTGATTCCAGTCCCTCTCGTCCGTGAACTCCGCCTGCATCCGCCTGATGTCTTCTACGGTGGGCTCGGGGCTGAAGGTGAACCTCTCCACCCCGGTTCCTCCGTTCTGCAGCTTGGAGCGACACGGTGCCTCCGTCGCTGCTCCGTTCACCACCGGTGAGTGCGACTTGTTAGCAAAAGCCTCGTTTCCGCCATTTAAAGACACAGATAGCTCGTCTCCTTTTAATCCGCAGGCGTCCTTTCCGTTCGTAGCCATCATGTTGTATGATTGTGTTTTTTTAAATCAGCGGTGCCTGTAAAATCAATTTTTTAAAGTCTGTAAACAACCTGATCTGCGCCGCTGCAGCTATCATGTGAAGAAGTCCCGCCAGTTGACAAACGGAAATGACGCAGCTTATGTCAGAAACCGGAAACGTTACCAAGACTGGGCTTTGTAGTTTTAACGTGAAACCCAGCGGCGTACACTGTCATATAAACTGTCAGTTTAAAACACTACAACTCCCAGGTTCTCAGGGACATTCCAACATGGCTGCCTCCTCTGTAGCAGTAAGTGAGCTGCTACATAATATGAATAAACAGATATCAGTATTGTATCCAAAGGCTGCGTGTGTTATTAGACGGATAAGCACACCGAGTTCGCGATGCGACAGCCAACTGCAGCTGAGAGCAAACAGGTAAGTGAAGCTGTTATAGCGGAATACTTTGGTTCATAATGCCGCTGACCTGGTTACGAACAATAGCTGCACACGGATTTAGATTGTCCCTTCAAGTTAGTTATAGAAGTCCAGCGATATCAAGTTTCCAAAACACTGGATCCTACACTTCCCATAATGCAACTGGGTAGCATATTTTTGTGGTTCACCCCCTGCCCTCAAGCTCTCCCCAGTTTGTTGAATCAATAATATGAATAAAATAAAATAAATGTGTAGCCTCCAAACACAACTTCTGGGCTGGATTGCCAACTGGGCAAAGTGGGGCCCCAGCACCCCCAAAGGCCTTGGTTTCACTGCTTGGTAATATGATTGAATGTAACTTTGTTGAGTGTAAGAGATGCTTTACTAGGGCACAATATAAACTGGCATTAAAACGGGTCTCATGGTCCAATTCTAGTTTTAAGACTGTGGTGCTGTGCTTCAATAGCCTGTTCCTCAATGAATTTGTGTTTGATCAGATAAACGCACAGCAAACAAGGAGCCATGTTTTTCCAGTATAGGACTTCTGAGCACATGCACAGAGAGGGGGAGGAACATCTCATTGGTCTCAGGGGAGGGATGGCCCTGATTAAATTGCTAGGACGATCCCTTCAGAGACACAAAAGACTTGTTTATACGTTACTGCGGTGCTTAATTCCAAATCAGGTCTAAACCCAGGCAGTCATCTCTGTAACGCCTAATCACATTCACCCAAATTACGTGGTAAACTCATCCAAAGAGGTCAGCGCTACAGAAAATATTATTTGAAGGGGGAACCAACTTTGACACAAGACTAAATAATTGCAGAGTCCCAATACCATACTACATAATAGTTATATGCATTATGTAGGCCTACTATATCTTATCTTTTTTGAATTAGTAAACAAGATATTGACACACTAATGGAAAACAGTTTGCCATTGGATGTCAAGTTAATGGATTTCCCTTTACAAGCTCAAAGCAGAATGTTTAATACCTCACCACCATTTGCAAATCATTTGTCTCTTTTTTTCAGTTGTAACTCTGTTTCCTTTCTGCATTGTGTGATACTAGTGTAATCACAAGAAGACTAAAGAATTCAAGCGTTTTTTAGTACGCATACTGCCTTTTTTTTCAGTTTACTTAGCTCAGTCACTTTTCCAGTTTTAACACACTGAATACTCTCAACCTAATTAGAGTTATGTTGTGTCAGGGAATCAGGACACAGCCTCAGTTTGAAGTGTATTCAAACATCTCCCTCTCTCTCAGTGCTCCCCAGCAGCTGGTTGGAGTGGTGGGTTTGGAAGTCCATGCCCAGATTAACTCCAAAACCAAGCTGTTCTCCGGCTCGCCGGTTGGCTTCTCAGCACCTCCGAACTCCCTGGTGTCTCCCTTTGATGCATCCTTACCAGGCACATTACCCGTAAGTGTTGTTTAACTGGAATCAGACAAAGATTACCTGTTGTTGTTGTTGTTGTTGTTTTTTTTTATCACTTTCTTGTCCGCTCATCAGGTAATGTCCCGGTGTGTCCCCAGGTCCTGAACAAACGATGTGTCGAGGCAGCAGTGATGACAGGATTGGCTCTCAACTGCACCATAAACAAGAAATCACTTTTTGACAGGAAACACTACTTCTACGCCGACCTCCCTGTGAGTTCTTCACTCCCTGTTCTCAGTTGTTTCTTTCCGTGCTACACTTATAGGATTTAAGGGGTGTTGGCACAGACGTTAGTGGGGTACTTTATCTGACAAACAGCAGTGTGAAGACATTATAGTCCGCCATGCTGCATCATTGGTTTAGCTTTGATGTAAGCTGTCCTCGTCTCCCTCCGACTTGTCCATCACGGCTTTCCCACTGCACTCTCCCTGCCATGAGCTCTAATTGAAATAGTGAGCAAGTCTTGCTGAAGCAACAAAAAGGCTATTTGCCACACGTACAGACGAATGACACCGAAAGCTGTTAAAGAATATGGCCAGTGTTTTTTTTCACTAACCAGCTCATTTCCTTCAGTGCACTTCTATTTGCACATTTTCCACAGGTCATATCCCTCTCCACGTCTTTGCTGATCATTTGGAGATTGCTTTCTTTAATTCACATAATTTGAATCATTATTTGGATCTTAAAAAATCCAAGGTAGTGTTGTTAAACTGGACATTTCTGAGTGTGGTATTTTTGATTATGAACTGTCTGAACATGAAAAGTAAATAGTTAAGTAAAAGTAAAATAATTGTAAGCTTAAGAGACAATCTTCAGTAGTTACCCACTTCACTTACATACCTGCCATTTCATTAGTGAAGGCGCTGGTATTTGGTAATGGTGGTGATCTCATTCTATATTGCCGTCTGGTAAGGTAGAGGAGGTACTAAAAATACTCTAACATCGATATTTCCATATATCAGCTTCGCCCAAGTGATGTTCACTTTGCTCTCTGTAATGGAGGGCTCGCATGGCAAAGTCTCACTACCCCTCAGAGCCCAAGGGTAATTTTACTTCTATTATGAGTGACATTTTAAAGCTTAGACGGAAAAGACAAAATGTCACAGGAACTCGCTCTACAGAGAGGTTTTCTAATAAATCGAGAAATTCTCAGAACAAAGCTGTTGGAGAATTTAGCATTTTGAGTGTTCCATGTCGGTCTTTGGGCAAGGTGATGAGGAGGGCAACGGAGAACTTAAGTCATAGATTTCCTCATAGAAATTGCCCAAAGATGTGGCTTTAAATGAGAATACTGTGCCCACATGAAGTAGCAGGCAATACATTGACTTTGAGCACCAGCTGGTATTTCTTTATAGCCCTGTTTCTAGTACTTTATAGCACTGATATAAATGATCGATATTATTGATATTTCTGATGAGTTTCTGCTCTGATTCCTTAGCTAACTTGACTGCATTGTGACAATTCGACTGACAAGGCTTAACGGAGCACACCAGCTTTATGTAGATCTTGATAGATGGAGTTTTGTCCCCATTTCATATTTCACAGACTTTACTGGTTATCACATGGTTGCAGCAGTACATATTTCAATCGCAATACTCGGGATATATTATCTCCCCAGAGAGTCCGTGTATCTCGAAAATTCCAGCAAAATCCTCCCAGAAGCTGAGGGATTACTGCTGGGTTCCTCTTGCTCTTTTGTGTGTTTGCCCAAGATTGCATCACCTCCTTTTGGAATAACTCTGAACAGTTGACACACACACAGCAGGGAGGATAATACCCCGATTGTAATTTTTATTTTTCTGCGAGATATCCCAAACAACTCATGCCGGCTGGTCGAGCCTGAACCTAGCTTTAGATGCACTGTGCACAATAGCTGCTGTTGCCTTGTTTTTAATCCTTTATTTAGTTTGCATTAGTCCAGCTGCTCAAAAAGAGTGATGTTGCGTGAAACGGCTTGATAAACTGAAGTCAGAGTGGTTTGAATTATGCAGATGATGGGAGATTTTTCACATTCGACCTCAAGTTTGAGTGTAATCAATGCTCATGAAATCAAATAGCAGGATCGAGGGAGAAATGATCCCGCCCTTGAAAAAATACATTTGTAAATTGCGTTGTACATTATTGATACGTTCCGCGAGAAATCCCTGATTGCATTTTGTAAATCACCACAGTTGCTCATTAAATGATTAATGCTGCTGTCCAACCAGCTCTCAGCTGGACTGGCAGGCAAGGCACAAATATATTGTTTTTAAACAGCCTTTTAATAACATGCCTCAGCAGCTCCACACTAAACGACCATCAACAGCAAACAATTACAATTTCCTTGAGATATTAAGCTAACGAATAAACAGACATGGCCTGGCTGTTGTAGCTTTGACATGTGTTTAATGGGAGCTATGAATGTTTTTGAGACCCCCTTATGCAGCTGAGGAAACCGTCAGCGTGCCGATGGGAGGAATGAGACGGCTGACTGACTTTTGTTTGTTTAGTGCCATTGACATTAGTCAGAGAATAACATTTTGGTGTGTGTGTGTGTGTCCGTGTGTTCAATCCTCTATGTACATTATGTGAGCGGGCATGCATGCATCTGTGACTTTGGATGTAAAAAGGGTGAGGAGTCACAGGGAGTGTTTGGAGCATCACTGCTCATTAGGGCCTAGAGTGTAATTGGGAAAACTCAATGTGGCTACCAGGATCTTATTGGCAGCGGACTTGCCTCACCCTTCATTATGTGGCAACAGCCGTTGATTTGTTATGCAGGGAATGCAGAGCACTTATCCAGATGCTCCCGAATGTACAGTATAGCAAGCGTGAGCTTCACCCTGCAGATACAGACAAAAGATCAAGTAAGAAACAGGGGATTTATGATAAACTGCAACAGTATTCACGAAAAAATCCAGCAGATTTAGAGATTAAATCCACCGAGAAGAACAGGAATTGAAGAAGAAACCCCCCAATAGTGTGTCTTTTTTCTCTCCCACCTACTTTAAAAGGAGCAGCTGATTGATTGTGTCGATCAGGCACATTGTACAGAGAGCCAGTGACGAACAGCCCCCCCCCCCCCAATCTCCTCTCCCACGTCCTCACTCTCTTTAGCATAAGTATGATAAATGTGAAGTTCCTGTGATGGGGTTGCCATAGTAACGTGGGGAATCAATACTTGGGGGCAGCTGATTCTTTTAGGAATAACGGAGCGGATGACATGTTTATGTTTTGTAGGAACCTGAAGTGAAGTGGCAGCATTGTAGTGACGGCTCAGCCAATCAGCCTGCACTGTGTTTTAATTGATGCTGCCTCACCTCTACATAGACCCATGATGACAAGCACTGCAGCATGCATCACTGGTATTTCACCAAAATAGTGGGACAGAGAATGGTATCTTACATCCGCAATTTCCTTTTGAAAAATGATATTTCAGTTACTCATTCCATTCATTCACATTATGTATCTTTTACGGACCCAAATTTACTCATATTTTTACTTTCAGTACACGTCTTTACACTGGAAATAGCTACAGCAAGCATTGACATCTAACAAAAGTACAGCCAAGTGTTTCCATCGTGCTGTAGTTGTAACATTACCAATTAACATGAATTTAATTAACAGAGGACATACCGCCCAGCTCAATCCCAAAATTATCAAGAAGAATATCAGTTAGCAAAAGACTGTTTTATGAATTAAAATGTTTTATTTCCGGTACTACACAACCCTGCTGACCAGAGCTTTACAGGGCCGAATGTTATACAGACTCGTGTATTTTCAAATTTCAGGCTGGATACCAGATCACGCAGCTACGGCGGCCCATCGCAGTAGACGGAATGCTGACCTACAGCCTCCTCGGAGGAAAGAAGAGGAGCCAGGTTATCAGGAAAACTGTCACCATCAAACAGATTCAGCTGGAGCAGGACAGTGGCAAGAGTCTCCACGATGACCTCCGCAGCCAGACACTCATCGACCTCAACAGAGCGGGTAACGTTAGATAGTGTTAGTGCGTGCCCTGAATTTAAAGGATACGTCTGGGGGTATTCTATGTTTTTCTCTTTGTCAAAAAATCCCATGCAAAGCAATAAATCGATCCTACTAATGTGTATTGTCTGTGCAGCCAAAGCCTGATATACTTTATTTCTCTGTGCCATAGACCCCCCCCAACAATGAGCCCCCAAAAAATACCATCAAGAAACGTACTAACGCATTGTTGGTTTTGGTCTTTTCATGACTGAGATAAATATTTTAGAACCGCAACCTTCTCTGTTCAGTCAGACTTTATTCTCCAGATTTAAATTGCTCAACAAAGCGGTAACCGCTCAGGTTTGTTCCAGAGTTCCATGGGACAGATACCTTGGAGATGTAAAACACAGCTGTCTTCACGTGTGACAGGTGTAGGTCTAATGGAGCTGGTGATGGAGCCAGACATGAGCTGTGGAGAGGAGGCTGCTGCAGCTGTCAGAGAGCTTCAGCTCATCCTGCAAGCCCTGGGCACCTGTCAAGCCAACATGTCTGGTATGGAGAGATATCTCTCTCTCTCTCTCTCTCTCTCTCTCTCTCTCTCTCTCTCTCTCTCTCTCTCTCTC